GTACATGGATGTGTTTTCTTCTACTTTCACGGATAGTATTCAGGGTCTGTTACTGCTGATTGGAAACATGGATGGAGTAATTCACATCATTAAGTAAATCATCAATATTTTACTTTACAAGCTTATCTTTATAGCATGGCTCAAAGTGCTTTACATAACAATTAATGAAAATATCATTAAGTAAAACAAATATGGCTATTTATGTATTATTTTTTACATAAATAAAAAAGTGTGGAGAAAGTTTTCCCTCCGTCAAATATTTCAGCTAAACACAACTCTTTTTTTAACTGGGATTTTAACATTTGTCAAAGCAGATGCCGGTCTCACATTTTCAGGAGCATGACTTTAGTTGTATAAATCTGACTCACTGACTCCATTTAGACATGACTCTGGGTCAAACAGAGCTAACGGGTCATGATACAATACAACCAACTATTTTAAAAACAAACTAAAAAGTTGTCCTGTTAGATCAATTCTGCATGTAGAATAAACAGTCAACATTTAGAACCAACAGCTACACATTGTGGCACATCCAAAAAAAACTAACTAACTAAAAAACTACTTCTACAATGTTTTATGTTTTTTTTTTTTTTTTTTTGGTTGGGACAGTACATGTTAATGAACACACACTCTGGATTGCAGCCATGGGCTAATTTGCATCCATTGTCCCACATTCGCACTCACAAACACACACTCATTCACCCTGAACTATTGCACATGTTTTTAGTGGCAGGGGAAACCCGAGTACCCGGAGGAAACCTACGCAGACAGGGGGAGAACATGCAAACTCCACTCAGAAAGGCCCTGTTCCGACCGGGATTCGAACCCAGAACCTTCTTGCTGAGAGGCGAGAGTGCTATCCACTCAGCCACCATTATAAAATGGGCATTTGAATTATGTTTACATAATTGGCATGTTCCATTTTAAACTGATATTAAATATGTTACATCTCTTACATTTTGATCCATGATTTTATCATCAATGATCTATCATTCTTTTTCAGCAATTTGAATTAAAATATGTCTGAGGGACACAATTTTTTCTGAAGTGTGCGTCACAGTCCGCTCTCTCCCTCGTAAATGAAGCTGTCTGCTGTCAGACACACTGTCACATCCCTTTAACGGCACTCAATAGCAAGCTTAATTTTGCAGTTTTGAAGTTACACAATCCTATGGCAATGCTTGGCGTAATGGCAAAGTAATGAGATTCCATGCACCAGTCTCTAATAGCACGGTAGGGTGTGAGTATACATATACTCAAGTACATGTATGTGCATGCTCAAAGGCATAAGACAACATATCAACCTCAATGAGTCCTCGAATGGGATGCTGTCTTTGTCCCCATGTCATAGCATACAAATGCGGCACGGACAGTGATAAAATGAATTGAATAGGCTGGTCATAAAACATCTTTTGATATTGAGTCAAAAATAATAAAAAAAATAATTCTGCTTCTGATTCTTCACAGTAATGTGATTATTCATGTCATGTTTCATATGGTTAAAGCACTATTGTATATCCGGAAAAAAGAAACATCAGATTAGTGCTCAAAATCTATCTGGATGCGTTCTGCAAATGTGACAAAATTCAGCTCCTCACTAATACTTTTAAATGTTAGCAGTTCTCAGCATATTCTTTTCTCCACTGTACTAATAGTGTTCTGAACTTCCATACATCCCAATTTTTCTTTGGTTGTATAGCACCTTGCTGATTACTTCGCATGGATCCATCATCTGCCGGTCAATCTATGGTCCGAAGGCTTTTGCTACTGCACGCTGCGTTCAGAGGGAGTATGCGCTGGTAATTGGCTTGTATTGTCACCAATGGGGGGGTAGCTCTGGCTTTTCCTTTGAAGTGGACAGGGCCGATTTGTTCCCTCAGCCCCCCTCCTGCCTTATTCCTGCCAGTACTATCAATGAAGTTTGTATAGTGTCTCTATCTCGCACACTAATGGAGTGTAGATGGAGCGTGCTGACTGAATCTATAGCGGGAAACAGGAACGTAAATGTAAAGGCGTTAGAGAACAATGAATCTATTGGGAGAGACGTGTGTTGTACAGATAGCTCGACGTGCCGTCTCTGAATTCGCTTTCATAATCTTTTGTCAACCCTCCCACAGATTCGTCCGACAATCCCCTAGTCTTTACTTCAAATACACTGCGGAAGTCTATAGGGTATCCAAGCTAATAGTGGTCCTAATCAGTCATCTATCGCCTCTAAGCACATAGTAGCTGCATTCTCTCTCAGGATATAGATCTGATCATGCAGTGATTCAAAAAGCTGATAAGTTGGCACAAGCGCGGCGCAATCAATGGTTTTCTTTCTTAACCAAAAGTCTATAGAAAATCTCCTTATCATGTGAATTGACATACATACCTTTTTTGATCCATAATAGAAATGTCATGTGCTGATTCATCGGTGTGGGGACCTGAAGGTTAAAACGTGGCCAGCCAGGCGAGAAGTTCGATAGCAAGGCAGTGGGTGGACAGCTAGCATGGGTCGAAAAAGAAGCACACAGGGAGGCTCAATGGGAAAATCAATGTGGCCCGATAACCAATTTGGGAAATAATGGACAATTCACTCTAACAATGTGGTGAAGTCGACTGCTGGCAAGTTTTATCTATTTCTTCTGTGTGGAGTAGATCTTCCTTGGTTATCTCACCTACCCGATAGAGCATTGACAGTTTGTACAAAGAGTTGTTCAAAGAGTTGGTGACTGATACTGACAGGTGGGTTAGCAGCAAAGGTGTTAACAGAGAAAGTTTCAAAGATGAATGTGTGTTTTTAGTTCAATTCAAGACAGAAGGTTTTATAATATTTAAAGATGGATAAATCGGCCTCAGTTTCATATCTTTGTCTCTGTTCTGTCACCACGCTCACAGGGTGGGATGGTGGTGTTGTGGTTAGTAGTTCACAGTAAGAAGGTCCCGGGTTTGATCCGTTGTGTGAGGTTTTTAGGTTCACCCTGTGTCAGCATATGAATGTGTATGTTTCCTTTGGGTGGTCGCACAGTTATTGACCTAAATACCCTGAAGTCTGACATTTTGAAAACTGAAAACTTTTTGTGTGTGATGTCATGTCAGAATTGATGCAGAAATGGAAGGATATTTCTGTGGGGCCTGCGGGGTCTCTCGGAACATTGGGCAGTTAATGGCAGCGCTAACACACTAGAAGCATAATCTTAATATTCAGACAAACAACTTGTTTTCAAGTGAACAATTCATTGCATTTCGTTTGTTTTCACTTTAGAGCAGCTTCATTCTACTTTTCAGTAATCCTCAATTGTTAAACAATTGATTAATTGTTAACTCCTCTCTCCCATACTCCCAACAGATGTATGTTCTGAGAGTTTAAAGACTCAAACAGAGCAGGAAGTATAGATAAAGGTTTACAGAAAATGCATATTGTTCAATTTAATGATAAACACAGAAACATTATTATGGATTTTTTTTTTTTTTATTATAATGTAATCTAGCTGCTTCACTTCAGATTTATTTATTCATTCTAAATTTTTATTATTATATTAAAAAAAAATAGTGTTCTAAACAACAAATTGATGAAATGAAAGTATAAGTATGGTAGGAAAGATTCTTTATGAAACTGACCATAACTTACATTAAATATAATTATATCAAATACTTTTCAGAGCAACTATTTGCCAAAAATCCTTTCAAAATCAATGTCACCCCAACAAAAATTCCAATAATATACCATAATGATGGTGCTATGGCAGCGTTGAGTGGTTATATGTTACACATCTTTAATTCCTCATCGAAGCAGATGGGTTTTTGTTGAATGTAATTTATGGGCGATAATGCAGTCATTTGTCCCTTCTCTGGGGTCAAGTGGGCCTCCCCTTTGCTCATTTCACCATAAATCAGCCAGAGAAGTCATTATACCCAGCGTCTATGTGCATATCTGCTTGCTAATTATTGCTAAATATGTCAAAATGCAAATCCAGTGAATGTGTAAAAAGCGAAGAACACTGAATTAAAATCAGGAAAGTAAAGCAACCATGCATGGTGTCAGATTATTTTTTCCCAGCAGAATCTCAGAAAAGAAGGTTAAACTTGCTTTACCAGGGAGTGATGGTTGTTAAAGGAAAGTCTCTGGCAGGTGCTAATGGTGCTGTCAGCCTCATGGTAAAGTCCCTCGCACAAAATTCTAGAAAGTTGGGAGGGGGAAAAAAAGTAAAAACTGTCAGGAAAATGTGAGATAATGTAATTTCCAGTTGTTTTGAAGTTGAGGTATAGATAATTATATAACAGCTATTCATTGAAGTGTTTCATTTATGTATTACAACCTGATTTTAAAATGATGATTTCAATTTTCTTATATTATAAACTGCTGCGCTCCAGAGATTTCTTAATTTAGAATTCACCACACACTTTATATATGTTTTATTACAGTCAAATGACCCCTTTAGTGTAATATTGTAATCTATAATGTAAACAATGGTGCGCACAAAAGTTGTAGGTAATTCTCTGGCTGCCGGAGTGGAATTACGCTGGATTCAGAAGAAATTCAATTCAGTGCTTGTGTGAAACTTTCGGTTGGTTTTCCAACTTAATTTTAGTTTTAAACAGTTGTTGGTGTGTGGGTGTGAACCATTTAGAACAAAAGTTTAGTCAGTTTTATGCCTGAAGTAATACAACAACCTTGGAATCATCTGATCTATCGGCCCAGCTACAAAGATTTTTGAAAGTGGATTTTTAAGACAGTAAAGTTTGCTCCTTATTAAATATTTTTCACCACACTTAATTGGTCTCACCCATTATTAATAGATGTCTTGAGAGAATTACAAAATCTGCAAAACGTTTTAATTCATGCTGACAAACCTGGCTTGGATTCGGAAACCACCGGTTGTCTCAAGTTTGACTCCTCCTGTGCCAGTGCCACAAGCTATGCCCCATAATTTTTTTGTTCATATTCTCAGCACACGCGTTTAAAATATAGTCGTACAAATGCACACTAATTCAAAGTCGCAGACACAAACAGCGGCTCACCTCTGGACCTCGTGCTTCCTGTCAAAGCTGCAGCAGGACGCCACATCATTAGCGGTGACCTTTAGCGAGCGAGGAGCTGGCAGAGAGGCCGCGGATGGGACTTTGTAGTGGGCTAGAAAGAGAATGTGTGATGACCGGGGTGGGCACCGCAGCGTCTGGCCGTGAACACTGTGCTGGAAGAGCTGGATGTGCCGGGGATTTGAACCCCCCACACTGATGCATGGCATTCGGCCAACATGAAACCATTATTTTGAGCGGAGGAAGGTCAGGACCTCAAGCCAGCCTGCCAATCACAACTCACGTGGAACTCGCTCGACCTATATCCATTGGATCATTATGCTTTAATAACATCTGTATAAAAATGTGGCCTAACAGTGGCACAAAGGGTTAAATGGAGGGGCAGCCGTTCGGATTCAACACTATAGCCTATTAATTGTCATTATGTCTCTCTTGTGACATCACACTTTCAATTGCTCATGGCTAATTAAAATCTGCTTTTGCTTATGTTTTTTGGAAGTGTAATAAAAAGGCGTCAAATATATGGAAGCGTTAACATAGATGTGAAAGAATTCTGTGTCAAAAAGTTGACTAAGACTAGAAAATGAACTTGATGTTAGACGTTATTGTATTGTATGTAAATCCTGACTGCATTGCCTCATTGTTGTTATGGAAATTCTATTGCCTCAAATGAATGAAACCGAGAGGAAACAAACTTGTCCTTTGTGCAGTTTATTCACAGAAGTGATGAGTACAAAAATGACATTTCTGCGCAGAAAGGAGTCAAACAGAAGCGGGACCTGGAGCGATGCCGCGTCTGTCTGTTCCCCCAACAAACATGTCTTATGATCTTATACTGGAGGTGTGTCAGACAGAACAATGGACATTCGTCACAAGAGAGATGAGTCATACGCAGCTGCAGACGGGAAAGTTTGGGAGAGATACATTAAGCGCAGAAAAGGACCTTCGAATTTGATAAGAAGGAACACGCTGTAAGAACATTTGAGATAGGCCCATGCAGGTGGTGGCGAAGGTTATGGGAAAGAGGACCGTGGACAAGCAGCCTTTGTCTTAATGTTTCAAACAGTGATGGGAAGCGGGTTTCAGACGCTGGGAAAGAAGACGCATGTATCGACCTAAATGATTAGAATATCTTGTGCCGGGAATCTGGCCATGACAATGTGCTTTAGTTTCAGATATAGCATTCTTTCTCCAATAGTTCATACTGGAGGAGCTAAATTAGTAGCTTTTCTGTGGGCTTCTTTCAAAATTAGAACAAACACAAGATGACACTAAAACTGCCATGTAAACTATGTGCAGCAGAATACAAAAGCTGCCTATTATTATAGAGGGTGTGGAAGTAATATATGACTACAAATACCACCCCTGGCAAACTGCGTTGTTAGGGCATGAGCTGTTTCAGGATGTGGGGATATTCTATCTTATTATGCATGTTTATAGCAAAGCAATGCATAAAATAAATTGAATGTGATAAGACTCAGTTTATTGCCCAAGTAAAACCAATCCTCTTTCTTTAACACCTTATTGCTATCATTATGTGGCAACACAAACAGAGGCAACAATTTGAGGGATGAGAGCAATCAAGAATAAGTCACTTAAGTCTTCCACCAAAAGACTTCAGATAATAAAGAACCAGTCTTTTTTCTTCAATTGATGTCACAGTGCAGCGTGACCTGTTGCACCTCACCACAGAAGCAATTACCACAAAATAATGAACAGACGCCAGTTGAAGGAAGCGCTTAGGAATTGAAATAATGTGGAGGTAAATAAATGTCTATCTCAAGATCAAAAGACAACAGAGAAGGGTGTGCATGTGAATGCAAAAGACGTCCCCCGCTTCAAATTGCTCTCCCAAAGATGACATCACACTTTTTATCAGCCACTACTCACACCTGTGCTTCGTCGCACCTCATCCCTTCTGATCTCATTCTATTCACACTCCCCACTATCTGTCTCATTTCAATTTTCAATTCAAGCTGGCTGTATTGGCACAAACAATATTGCTGCGTACTCTGAATAAATAGAGGGGAGTGACTGAGGTGTATTTTGTATTCAACAGAATCTTAATGAGAGGCCTGGAGTCCTTGCATATTGCTCTCCAATGGTCCTTCACCTTATACCTCCATCTGTCCTCCCATCTTTTCCATTAAACAGAAAAACCCTTGTCGCTGCGTGTTGCAAGTCAGGTTTGTGAATGGCATAGCAGGGAGGCTAGTGCCGTCCAACTAGGGCCCAATTACTGTCAGATCATCTCTGCAAATTTTTTGAGAAGCTTTTCAGTCTTCTCATCAAGGATCGAGTCTTCCTCTTGGCTGATAAGACTGTTCTAAATTACTTTCCTGCTGAACTTTTAATATTTAGACATGCTTTGTTTGAGGAATGTGTTACTTCTACATATTATCCATGTGGTAAATGTTGAATGATGATTTATTTTGAAAGTTTCATGCTATGATTAGCATGATTACCATTTTTGAGAACCCAACAACATAAAGTCCATCTCTTGCCTGCTCAATATAACTTTTTATACTGGTTGTCCTCTTGGTTAATACCAGCTACTACATCTACGGGATTCAAAAAAGATTATTTTATAGCTAGAGTTGCAGCACTTTAATATTTACAACTCGTAATGCCGTTGTCGCTACTTACCTCTGAGATAGACTAGAAATCGAAATGCAGAATTATGTACATAACCAAGCAGAGAATGGAAATTAGATGGCATCTGCAACGTACGGGATCACCAAGGGGGACGCAGGAGTGAGACAGGCAAGGAGAAGGGCAGATGACTTTGTAAGCAGTACTGCCTTGTGCATATGCTAATAGAGGATTGGGCATCTCTCTCTGGGTAGGATTTCAGACGTGTGAGCTCTACATCCTAGACTAGATTTAGAGGTAACCTATGGCAAGGATTAGTGTAATGCATTTACAAATGACATAAAGGATCAAGGAACATACCATGGTATTATTGTATAGTATATTCAATTTTATCAGCATTTTGTCCAGGTGGGTGAGATATGATAACTATGGGTAGCTTTTTATGCACATAAAATATAAGGTAAATCTTCTGATAATTGAATTCTAATTCTAAAAATACTATGAAATGCTCAGCATATTTTGTAGCAAATCAAATGATGAAGATATAAATCTACACTTAAGCACTACCTACTACTAACTACTAACTAAGTTTCCTTTGCATACTGCCTATGATAAATTAGTTTTCCAGAATAAAAAATGAGCTATAGGGGTTGAAATACGGAAGGTGATTTAGCCAACACAGCCAATTACACAGTCCTTAAGCACCTTAAAAAGTAGGGCAATCAATACTAGCTCCAGTAGAGTTTGTTTTCTTTGAAGCTAATGCCATCTGTATGTGCTATTAAACATTACCCATGCACACATTTTTCTGCTTTGTTTTGTTAAAGATAAATTTAAGAGAAAAATATACTTTAACGTTGTCATAAATTCATCTGGAATGCTTTTTTGAATAAGCCCCATTATGTGTGAGCAGAGTAGATGGTAGAGACGAATACTGGTGTCTTTGTAGTCTATTATTTTGTCATTATTATTATACTTTGCCTTTAATGCAATCTTGAGTTTGGCAAAATAATTCTGCCTATTTTTATAGATAGTCATGCCGTTTCAAAAAGTGTTTATCCCATTACAAATCAAAATAAACTCAACAAAAGAAAAGGCCTGTTTAACCATTTACACCTCCCACTTAATGCCTTAATGACACTGCAGCCGTTTAGATTCGTCAAATCAATGCAATAGTTCATGCTTGTGTGCATACGGCAAACACGCACAATTTGCCGCCTTCTTCTATCACCGCAAATCAATTCTACCATAAATTATCCACACTCTCCTTTCTCAACAACTGTCACCGGAGTGTATTAAGCCTCTGTCTGCCGCTTCATGCAGGAAGCCCACATACAAGCGGGGGGTCAGTCCAGATGAGGGGTTAAGTGTGCTGATGACTCTGGGGTCACCCAGAGAGGTTATGGCCCCTGAACTCGCAGAACAACTCCCCTCTAACGTCTTCACTGAGGAGGACACTTCCTGGTTTATTGAGCCGCATGACACGCTCCCTTTGTTCGCCTCAGATGCCCGCCGCTTTTGTTATTCCAATCAGTGTCATCACTTATGGGATCTGTCCACTCCGACCAGAGCCTGTGTTAAACTTTGGCTTGAGGTGCATGGGGCCACGAGGTTTTTATCGAAATTATGATTTTTTTTAGGGCTATAATTATTCATTTTGATAATCAATTAGTCCAATTATTGATTAAATGAATTGATTGTTTTTTTTTAGATCCCAATAGGTCAGTAAATATAGGATTTTTAATACATTTGAACAAAATAAAGCTCAAGTGATGCCCCTGGAGAACATTGGATTGTAAAACTTTGTAAAAACATTTTAATTTGATTCTGCAGTCATTATAGAATTATCTGAGTCAATGGAGAGTTTAAAAAAGCCTTATAGTTGCTAATGAATTATTCACTAATTAACAATTTTCATATATATTATATTAATGCTGTAATATACACTTATCCTGTAAAGAGAACAGTTTTTGTTCAAATTTAGTTATGGCTTTTTGTTGGTTTTGTCAGAGAAATGGACACCAGAATTGAAATGATATGGGCTGTGAAAGCTGTATTAAAGCTAATGTAATTGCATTTGACAGGGTTCCCTTTACTTGGTGGGATAATACATGTCGTAAATATAAATAATAGTTTTGCAGGAAGCAGTTGACAAAAGTACTGTTTTTAAATATATGTATCAAACTCATTTTCCTCACACTTTAACACATTTGTTATAGTTTGAACATGTTTGTACACACACCACTCTACTACTTTTCTCAATTGTTTCTCAATTCAAGTTTTTGCTAAGGCATATTAACATCAGTAATAATATACTGAATAAACCAAATATTCAGTGTTAACTTTATGTTAACCATATGTTTATACTTTGAGGTTTATTTAACTAAAGATTAACATTTTATTGTAGTTTTCAAGTAGATATTTGTGCTATACTTACTATCCACTTATCTAATTTCATTCTCCTCATTCTTACTCTTGTGTTACCTTTGCTACACTAACATTTCCTGACTGTGGGACGAAATAAAGGATCTTCTTAACTTCAAAATATGTAAACAACTTTTGTTCCATTTGCTGTTCGAATACATTTCACAACATCCAGAGTGATGCTCGACATTGG